TATTTATGCCACCAAGGCTCTAAGAGATATTTATAGGCGGAGTTTCGAGATTAGCTATAACAAAATGAAATAGGTTCATATTTAACTGAAATCTCACTATTGAGAAAAGGTGCAGTGTAGATTAGAAGAAAAAAAGATAATAGATCACCTTTACATGCTCTGCTCTTAAATTCACATCCATAGAAATTCAAGCTGTTTGAAACAGACTGTTCCAAGGAGGCCCTGGCTTCTTGGTTTGCTTTTGCTCAACTCCAAAAACCTTAACTAAGCTGCTTCCATGTGCAAGGTCTGGCTGGCTGTTGTGAAAGTCAAAGGGGAAGTGTACAAACACCTGGGGGAGGAAGGGGTCTGGGTGGAGGCAGAGACATGGCCAAGGTAGGAACAAACAGTAATTAATACTGTCCACCTTGCAATACAAGGTGACGGGACTCTTAACAGTTCTCCGGTTAGACATATCCTTCCCAGCTTGTTAATAAGACTTGCTGCCTTAGTACATAAACCATTCGTAAAGGAAAAGAACATCGTGTCATTACAGATTACAAACTTGTATTGTACATACAAACATTTCTACAGCTCTCCCCGCACAATGTCTTGTGTGGGCCGGTTGGTTGGGCTTTTTTGTTTGTGTTGTTATTGTTGCTGTTGCTTTGAGGATTCTGTTGTCGTCATTGTTTTGAACTCAGTACAGATGGCCGAAAAATACTCAAATTTTCATACGACTGGTCCAGATATAACTTCAGTAGTCACTCAACCCCGCTGCATATCCATGGGCCATGGCATTTTACTATAATTATTCTATGAGGGCATCAGTAGTCAGACTCCTTCATTTGTCCATCTGTTAGGAAGGGACCACTGACTCCAGCCTCTGCATTTTCCTAGTAACAGTAATAAATGTTTTGTAGAAGACTTGATGTTTTGGGGGGGCGGGGGGACAAAAACCTGCCTCTGGTCGCAGCTGGGTGATAGGCAAATGGGGAAGTTTGTTTCATTAGTCTATTTTTATGTATATTTGAAAATGACCAAGTGAAAGGTTTTTTTTTTGACTGCTGCACATAGGTGTTTCTGTTGTGCATGGACACCCACCCCATGTCCCAGTGGCCTCTGCGGACTGAGCTTATAAATGTGGTTAGCAGTCACCATGAGGGTGCCAGCAGCACAAGGAAAACGCAGGCATGGAGAAGAGAGAAGCAAACGTGCTCCCTAGTGCTTCAGAGTGGAGGGTGCCTCTGAGAGACACAGCCAAATAGGTTAAAATGAGAAAACATTTGGGCAGAAAGAATATGCTAGTTGCCGTGTATATATTATCTCTTTAAAAAAAAATAGAGCTACCTATGAAATAAGTACTTCTCAGTAATGAGCTCCTCCTTCATTAACTGCATTCATTAAGCTCCCGTATGCAAAGTCCGTGCTAGACAAAGAGACACAAATGCAACATTTGCCTTTGGCATACTGGGCCGAGGAAGAATAAACTAGGTCACAGTGTGAGAAGTGTGTGCCTTCTAGTGCCTGAAACTTAGCACTACCCAGAGTCTCAGACCTGTACTTTAGTGCCCAGAAATCAGCTTTGCTCCACTCGCTTCAGGCCTAAAACCGTTCACAGAATGCTGAGATGTAAGGTTCTGGGCTAGATACTAAACCTATGGAGGAAAAAATAAGGTACAGTTCCCATCCTTGGACTAATGGGGAAGGAAGATAACAAAATCATTTTTTTACCAGTGGAATGCCAGGGTACTCTGAGCTCACAGAGAAAGACTTCAGGGCAGGCTTCATGAGTTAAATCTTGAAGGATGGTTAAGATTAGCAAATGAGTCTGGCTGGTGTGGCTCAGTGGTTGAGCATCGACCCATGAACCAAGAGGTCACGCATTAGATTCCCAGTCAGGGCACAGGCTGGTTTTGGGGACTTGATCCCCAGTAGGGGGCGTACAGGAGGCAGCTGATCAATGTTTCTCTCTGTATCCCACTCCCTTCCTCTCTCTCTAAAAAATCAATAAAAAACATATTTTTAAAAAAAGATTAGCAAGTGAGAAAAACAGGAAGAAACAGTGATGAAATAGCATGAGTATGTGTCAGGAATTGTTTGATGATAATACAATGATGGTAAAGAATTACTAAATTATCACTAGAATATGAGCGCCAGAGGGAATTTTGTCTGTTTTGTCTGGCTTGCAGTAGGGACTGATTAAGTATTTGTTAAATGAATTCATCCAGGAAGTGTTGCTAGAGTTCAGAGCTGATGGTAGGGAGCGGCATTCAATGTAGACATGATAAAATCAAGGAATCCGTGGTAAGAAGCTGGGATTTGATGATGATAGAGAAACACTGAAGGATTTTACAAAGAAGGATAGCATGACTGGAATTGTGTTTTATGAGTTTCAAGGGGGATGAAGGGACCTAAGAGGGAGGTGTCTGGGCTGGTAAAGCTCTGCATTTCCATCTGGACCTGGTTGTGCAGATGCATTCTCTTCTGTAATAATTCTCCAAGCTGTATGCTGACAATTTGTGTAGTTGTCTGAGTGGATATGAATTTTTTAAACGTGACCTTGGTTTCCGGGCTCAGGTAACAGTGGGGGGGGTGGGGGGGATGGCGGGGTGCTGGTGCCTGTACTAAGTTCAGTGTATCTACTAGAAGAAAGGGGTCAAATTCCACAGTGACCACGGCTCTTATTGCACTTGTGGCTGCCCTTGTGGCAGTCCTGGTGTCACAGCGCAGGCCTGTCATAACTCCATGGTCATGGAAAACACCCCTCCCTGGAACTTCCCTTCAGGGATTCTTATCCCCCCCCCAACCCCCCCTCCCTCCTGAGCTGGTGCCATCCCTGCAGGAGGGCAGGTCTCCTCTAAGAAAAGAAGCCCTTCTTTATCCGCCCTAAACTCTCTTGGTCTCCATGATGCCCTTTGGCGGTAGGCGAGGTCCTAAAAGAAGCAGCATAATCAGATCCACTGAAGTTATTTCCATAAAGACACCAAAACTAGCTTCTTCTGGACTGCGGGGGGCCCGGGGGGCTGTCTAGCATTACATGGAGGTGGTCATGGGCAACAGACACACCTTGGGAAGGTCCCCTCCCTTCCTTGCCAGTGTCTCTCTTCTGCTTAGCTGTTACATAGCCTTCACTGGAGCCAAACTACTCCTGCAGCAGAAGGGGTAGGGGCAGGAATCTACAGCAGAAGCCACCACCGGAGGGCTGCAGACCCAGGATGTCTGCTTCCAGGTCCCCTGGGGAAAGACGGAATGAGACTGTGGTGGAACCCCGAAACCTCTCACACCCTGCATTCCGCCCCAGCGATGCTGAGAGGCAGCGGATGACGCTCTTTTAAGCCCCAGTTGAGCCGGCCAGGATGTCCTCTTGCCTCCAAGTGTAAAGACATGTGAAAAGCCTTTGGAGCCAAACTACTCCTGCAGCAGAAGGGGTAGGGGCAGGAATCTACGGCAGAAGCCACCACCGGAGGGCTGCAGACCCAGGATGTCTGCTTCCAGGTCCCCTGGGGAAAGACGGAATGAGACTGTGGTGGAACCCCGAAACCTCTCACACCCTGCATTCCGCCCCCAGCGTTGCTGAGAGGCAGCGGATGACGCTCTTTTAAGCCCCAGTTAAGCCGGCCAGGATGTCCTCTTGCCTCCAAGTGAAAAGACATGTGAAAAGCCTTCCCCTCTCTCGCAACATCTTGCCTCACGGGCCGCTGGCTTCCTGGCAATGCACTTAGCGCGCTGGTCACTTAGCTAAGTGTAGTATCTTTTTCCTGCTCCCTGATGAGGTCGGTCATTCAGGTGGCCAAGCCCTGCCTATGTTCTTGCCAGGACACCTGCTCTGCCTCTGAGGATGATGGAACTCTCTTCATTCCTAGAGCCACCACCCAGCTGCCACCTGACTCTTAGGAAAGAGAGACTCGTACAGACCCTTCCTGACACCCTCCTCCCCAGGTGGCCAAGGCTAAAAGAACTTTTTTAGAGGAGATGGCTACAAACCAGACAACCCAGATAAATCGTGAAATTCTGCACCCACACTTAGGTAACCCTATTCACGAGAATCAAAAGAGCAATTTGCTGCTATAGAAGTGGAGTCGAGAGAAAGCCGGTAAGTGAAATGGGATCCAGACAGAGTGACAAGACAGGGGTTTACTTTAAAGGAATAGAATGAGCCATGGTGCCCACAGGCAGCCCCCAGACTCAACGCTGGGGAAGCGGAATCATTCGATGTGGGGATAGTTTCTTCTCTGCCACACACTAAGCTTTGAAGTCAGTTCTAACCTTTTCCAACCCCTACCCCAAAGTCCAAACACCTTTGTGTGTTTTTTTTCTGGTTGCTAAAGTCTCCCTCACTGGAAACTCAAGTCCCAGCCTCAGTTTACCCACACTGTTCCTTCTCTCCAACTACCTTAGGCAATTGGTACTGAAATGACCATGAATAGAAAGGTCTTTCGCTTTCCTATTTCATCATATATAAGATGCTCATGGACAGGTACACCCTTACTTTATATGCTACTGAAAAGTCTTGTAAATAAAACATCCCATCCGCTGTGAAATGCACCCTGATTCAGAGACCCGAGCATTTGGGAAGAAAACGTGCTGCTTAGAGGCAATGATTGCAATACCATTACCTGGGCAACATCAGGGGATGGGAAGTCCAAATCCTTTGACTTCAGACAATCCTCTGTGTGAGTTAACAAGCCCTCAATACCAATGGGTTACAGCTCAGACATTTCAGTGACTGGGTTTCCTCACTGCCAACAACATTCTATGGTTTAGACCTTAGTGTAGAGGAATATCATGGAGAATTCTGGAAATCTGGCAAAACACTACAGTAAAACGATTTTGAAAAGGTGCCAAACAACTAAAGCATCATGAATTTAATGTGTTTAATGCGTGTTTCTATTTATTGTGTAGATGATAAAAATGAGTAGAGGATAATTTTTACAAGCAGGAACAGAACTCCTCAAAGCTTCAACATCGTTGCAATACTTGAACCGATAAACATTTCACCTTTGTGTATTTGTGAACAGATTTTTGAATTTTGTGGAGCTGATGCTAGCAAATTAGAAGCGAAGATTCAAGAACTAATGTAACCTGATCACCAAGACAAAATACACTTGCAGCATTTTAAAGCCCATAGCCAAGTGTTTGTGTTTTCATTTCCAGCAAATACTGTAATGTTCTACTGTGCTCTCTCCTAATGCGTTGCAGGTTGAATTTCTTCTTGCAACTCCTGGAGAAATCACTTAATAGCCCTGAGCTCTCAGAGATTGCGGTCATTCCCATTCTCTAAGATGTCCTTTCCACTTATTCTGAGCATATCCCTTAGGCAATATTGTTATGACCTTCACAACAGAGACCCTGTCCAGCTACATAATATCAGGTCATTGGGACGGTTTCCAGAGATCATCAAGATGGAATTCTTCTCAGTGATCTAGAAACCAATAAATGCCTCATTGCCCTGGGGCACTCCAAATATATAGCGCTTCTCCCAATGAAGCCATCGTTCGCGGTACAAAATTCTTTTCCAGTGTATTAGGTAGAATTGTGTCATTTTTCTCTCCCTCATTGCCTTTCTAAAATTATTCCATAATTTTTTAAAAATCTCTCAAAAACAAAAGCCAGAAAGTAATTTTCCTACCTATACATATTTTTTAAACTGAGATGGCTCAGACAGTTGGAGCTCAGAGAAGTTGGCTGCTTCTATTAACTGCGCCCACCCAGGGCTGCCATCAGATGAACACCAGGGCCTTTAAGTCGTGGAGCCAGCTCTCCCAAGCCATCAATGACTGAGATTTTGACAACACCTAGGATCCATGTGCCTTCTTAGAATTCTTTGGAATGTAGAGTAGCGGAAACCAGCCCATGCTAGCTTAAGCAAAAAGCAGCACTGATTTACCATGCAACAAACATTTATTGAGCACTTACTCTGTGCCAAGCACTGCTATGGTCCCTTAAAATAAAACTTGGTTGATAGAATCCAAAGACAGACATATATCCAGCCTTTTATGAGAATAGAAATGAGGAGAGGAGGGGCGTGGGGGGCCCAGGATGGTTCTGAGTGTGTCTGTCCTCTGCTTTCTCTTCTCATCTGAATCACCATTCCTGTCGTTTTGGCTAGGTGTTCTTTACTTCCCAGTCCTCGTGTGGGAAAGTATCCCCTGGGAATAACCCCCAAGTTATCCCCTCCATTCAAGAGGCCAGCCAGACTGCGCCTCAAGAAGACTCTAGTCAGTGGGTAGGATCACAGGATAAAACAGTTTTGCTCATGCTATAAGGATAGGGGTGAGGATGGCAAGGATCCCAGACGGGCTAGAGGTTCGAAAGACTCAAAATATTGTGTCCCATACTAAACATAAAATTTTAAAACAAAGTAACAATTTAAAGCAAAAAGTATTGGACAAGAGGACATATATCCAGCTAGGCTTATGTATATAAATATTTATGTACTTACGTGCCAGGCAATACCCTAAGCCCTTTGCATTTATCCCTCATTTGACCACTGCAACAATCCTGTAAGTAGCTGTGTACTGGTAAATACTTAACAACTGGCTGTGTGTGTGTGGGGTGGGGGGGATGGGGGGAGAAGCGGGGCGTAGTCCTGGTTTGTAGTGATTGCCAATTACTATAGTGTAAATACTTGGTAGATTTCAAGCTACTAACCTGAACTTGCAGAGTATGGGAAAGATGTACGTAAAAGGCTCTTATGTGCTGGTTAAGATTTGGCTCCAGGACATCGCTACATATCCATGAGGTACTACTTTTACCCCTGTTTTCTTACAGAGGCGAGGACAGACACAGCATAGTTAAATGACTTGCCCAAGTTTTCCCAGGTGAATCTATATTAGACCCCAAGCTGTCTGGCTTCAAAACTGAGACCAAGGATTGAAGAAAGATAATACAGCTGGGCTTATAACAATGCCATCTTAAATTTTACCAGTCACTCTCACTACTTAACAAAATATAGTGTCAAAAATTTTCAGTCATCTTACCTGGTGCCCTCATCTCACATAAGAGCCGATTGGAGAGGTTTGGAGCAAAACGTCTCAATTTGCACTTCCAGGACTCTAAACCATAACTACAATTTACCCGATTCTTCGTGCCATATGCTATTTGCATCCCCTCCTACACTCACAACGTCCCTAATAGGTTCTTAGCATTGTCAATGTACACAGGAAATAGACTCGGCGTTTGATCTGCCCAAGATCACAAAGGAGACGGGCAGTCAGGATTCCCACCCAGGTCCATCCGTCTCCAAGGCCCACAATGAAAGGCTGCAGTTCCTTGGGGCCCTTTTCGGCCTCCACAGGACCATTGCAGCTCAGCAGCCAAAATGCAGTCAGCTTCCAGTCCACAGTCCCTCGTGAGCGCCCCTTCCTTCTTCCTGGTACACGAGTCCAACGGAACATGTCCACCCGGCCTCCTGACTCCCAAGCACAGTTCTCTCATCTCTCAAAGTTTGCATTAAAGAATAATAATAATAAAAAAAATACATTCAGACTCACTGTATCATTTCCTTCCTGTGACGATAATAACGTTATTTAACCATAACAAAATACTTCACCTAGCTCTTTCATCTGCAATGAATGCATCTTTAACAAGCTTAGAAAGTTCTGGCTTATTGTCCACATTTTACTCTCGTGGAGTCACAAATTACAGTCTAAATTTAAAATCCTATCTCCCCCCCCCACACCTCCATTTCCTATGGGCCACAATCAAAGATAGTTCTGGCAAAATTAGGAGACAGGCCAAGTTGAGGCCTTCTCCACTCTCAGTTCCAGGACCTCTTCCTCACCCAGCTTTTCCACCTCCTCCCTCCCACTCCTAACCGTCACCACCCAGCACACATTTTACATTGATTTCCTCAGAGCCTTTCTTGCTCTCAGTTATAATTGTTTCTTCACTCATTCATCCCCCAATCATTCATCGAAGGGTTTTTTATGCTAGCACCAGGCCTAACCTAGGGACGGGTAGAGTACAAATACTACTTCAGCAGGGGAAAGCCATCTGCGAATGAAGCTGAAGGAATTTCAGTGAGAGAGGCAATAACCAATTTTTATGCAAATGCAAAGTGATATAGAAGAACAGGTGAGAGAGTGAGCGATGCTCCTAGAGGGTGGGCAGGGGGTGGGTTTGACCTCTGTTTAACCTTGACTTGCTTATCTTTGCCTCCAGGATGTTTAGACTGGGTCACCCCCAGAGGATGGGAGCATGTTCTCACTCATCTCTAACCCCCTGGTATCCAGCCCATGCACAGACCAGAGGAGACCGAGGAGACATGACCACTAACTGCAGTGTGGTGCCCTGACCTGGAGCCTGGAGCAGAAAAAGTCCATGACCGGAAAAAGTGGTGAAATGCAAATAAGATCTGGAGTTTAGCCCACAGTAACTTACCAATGCAGGTCCTGATAAATACTGAGGCTCAAGAATCCCACACGCTATAGCACTTAATCCTCAAGCAACTCCGTGGTCATACTGTTCTCATTTTACAAGCAAGTTCAGAGAGATGAAGTGCCTTGCCCAAGGTCACACAGCTAGAAAATGACTGAGGCCAAATGTGACCCCAGGTGTGCTAGAGGAAATCAGAGAAATGATGGCATTAAGTAGAATTAGTGGCTGATTCTCTCTATATAATAGAAATTCCAATTCCACTGCCAGCAATTCATTAAGGTGACTCCAGAAAAATGCTGCCAACTATATTTTAAAATTGCTGGTCTTATTTACTTTGCTCTGTCTCAAAAACCAGTAAAAACTGATGATCTGCCCAAATAATCTAGATTCTTTGTAAGTTAGACAATTTCAGTTCTTAATTTTAAATGATGCTTTGTAATTAGAGAAAATGCTTATGTATGGGTTTTTAGAGATAAGTCTTTATTAATTAGACTGAAATTACAAAAAATTATAAATAGTAGAATTTCAATACTATGTACAATATATATATGCAGATATTCAAGTTTTCTTTGAATGAATTATTCAATGTGTACATCACATAATATTAATTGATATATTTGTTTAATAACAATACCCATGAGCTATGGTAGATAAACAACAGCATTAAAGAATGGCAGACTAAGGCCCTGCTGGCGTGGCTCTGTGGTTGAGCATCGTCCTATGAACCAGAAGGTCATGGTTCGATTCCCAGTCAGGGCATATGCCTGGGTTGTGGGCTCAGTTTCCAGTGTGGGTGATCAAATGATTAGCTCTCATCATTGATGTTTCTATCTCTCCCTTTCCCTTCCTCTCTGCAATCAATAAAAATGTTAAAGTGTGTTAAAAAAAATGTGTTTTTTTAAAAAAGGACTATGTAACGATGAGAATAAGAGGTCAAAGAAAAGCCGTGAAGGAAGAGTTTAAGCAACATATCGGATTTCCAAAAAGGCACTGCTGCCCAGGTAGGTGATCCTTACTCATTCTCCCAGAAAAGATGGGCTGTTCTCCAGAAACTCTTCAGCACGGAAAAGGCCGGAGGGAACTTGCCACCAGGTGAGAAGGCAGCCTCAGCCAGGGCCTCAGGGCCACGTCACTTCTGCTATCATGGACTTCATCTATTCACCTTTTGAATATGAACAAATCTTTTGGCAACAAATCTTTTTATCACCACACGTTAAAGGGAAGATGAGTATTGTTCTCAGAACAAAACTTGAAATAAACAAAATGCATTGAAATCAAAATGATTTTTGTTTTGAAGCCCAACTTGGTATGTGGCTGGTCCAAGACTCAGAGGCAGTTCTCTCTCCTCTGTCCTTCCCTCCCCCTCTTCTCCCCTCTCGCCTCCTAATAATCTCTCTCTATCTCTATATCTATCTCTATCCATCTCTATCTCTATTTCTATCTCTCTCACCTCATTCCCTCCCTCCCTCTCCCCACCTCCAACAGAATGAACTACTACTAGTATAGAAATTTTAAAGCTAGAATAGCACCAAATTAAGACTCTTCTTGAGTAACCAGTATTGAAAGAAAATTAAAAAGGAATCAGGAGGGGGTATATGAGAACTCTCTGTATCTCTGCTCAATGTCTTCTAAATCTAAAACTGCTCTTTAAAATTCTATTAATTTTTTTTTAAAGTGTGCACATAAGAAATAAAATTGAGTTTATAACTGGGGGTGGGGGGGAGAATTAACCTTCTCCCTACATGAGTCAAAGTTGTTTAATGGTGCATTCCCCATGCAACCCCCAATCATCAGAATTATTCCCTGAAATTACCTTTCACCGTAACATTGGTCCATGGCTCACATTTTGTGAAGCACTACTAAGCCAAAGTCTGATAACATGGAAAAATAAGAAGAAAAAGTATAGATTGGATGGTTTCCTGTTGATGGCAGAATGAAGCGGTGACTCATTCACCTTCCTGCCAAAGCCCTGTATGGTCTGACCCGCATGGCATTTATGCCTTTCTCCCAGCGCCCATGCACCCTAGCCATTATCTCAAACTCTGTGCTCATCCCTGTATCTGGAATTTCCTCCCCCCAGCTCTGCCTACCAAGTCTTATTCAGGATCACCCAGCAAAGGCATCATTTCTTCAAGTCAGCCCAACCAGCCATGTGAGCCTACCCGGCTATCGGCTATCACAGACGGGGAAGCATTCCTCCTCAGGTAGGTCTAGGGTGCTGTGTGGGCCCAACCATTGGAGCCACCATCTTTTGTGGGGTACGGTGGATGTTTATGTCTGCCCTGGGTTACCAGATAAAGTACATGGCACCTAGTTAAATTTGAATTTCAGACAAAGGATAATTTTTAGCGAATGCTTCATTCAATATTTATTTTTTATGTGCTAAGTTTGGCGATCCTATGTCTGTCTCCAATGAGACTCGGCTTCCTACTTATAAAAGCTATGGCTTTGCATCTGTGTGTATGCAGTACTGAGGACACTACCACACACTTAGTAGAATCTTGGTAACTATTGAATGACTGCTGTCCAACTCGCCCAGGAAACCCTGAGATTTCAACTAATCTCAGGAATACATTTCTATTTCTATCTAGAAATGTAGGCTTGGAAGGGGGAAAAAAATGTGCTCAAATGTAATACATTTGTAATTCCTAAACTAGATCTCTAGGAAGGAGCAAAGGTGTCTACATTATTCTCCATCTTGTCTTTTGCACACATAACAAGTCACACACGGCATGGCTTCCATATACTTTACGATCAGCTCCGACATAAATCACACATGAGGGTGAGAACTTGGTACACTGAACCCAAAGGCAGGCAGAATAAATAGCAGCAGCAGCCAAGAACAGAGCTACGCCATGTTGGGGCCAGTTCTGCCCCGATGAATCAGGTACGCAATTAATCATCATGTTTTGCTTCACAGCTTTCCTGTGAGGGGAGTGTGCGTGGTGGAAGAATCACAGGTTCAAAAGTCAGAGAGACCTGGGTTTGTGGTTATGACTCAGTGTCTGCCAGGAGGGAGCCCTCACTGGGGCTCCGTCTTCTCCTCTGTGAGCCAGGTTCTCATGGCTACTCCGAAAGGCCAATGTAAGTACTAAATGGAATAATGCACATGACATGTTTTGTATGGTACCTGTCCATAGCAAGTGATCAAGGGTAGAAAAAATGATAGTGACAAGAATGATTATGTTTTCATTTCTACTATTCCAGCCAGATTATAATCTCTTTGAGCCTATGAACTATTTCATTCATTTATTCATCATTATTTATTTATTTTTACATCGTTTGGAGCCTCCAATAGCCTCTAGTATAATGTGCAGTAAAGTGTATTCATCAGCTAGACATCCAAAGAGACTGAAGTCTTGAAAATGTTCAGTGTTTTATTGCCTTTCATAAAGCTGACAATATTTAACCACAGTAGAGCAGGGTAAGACCAGAAATTAACCTTTGTAAGTGACTGGTAGATTGCACACTGTCTTTCACAAATAATTGATGGACTACGCTTGGGCACTAAGAAACACCAGAGAAATCAAGACATAGTTTCTTCTTTCTTAAAATAGTAAAGAACCATTTTGATGGAAAAACCATTCGTCCCACCTTTCCCATCAGGATGTTCTATCACGTGTGTGTCTAATCACAGCACACACCACGGGGAACACAGCTGGGTGAGCTGGGGGTTGCCCTTCTCACCAGCTGCTCAAGGGAAGAGCTCAGGGTGAGGGGTCACCTGCTCTCAGCAGAGGAACACCAACCATATAGACACTATTCTCCAATCTTCGTCTTTCCTGGTTTAGCAATAGCTATCATTAAACTCGCAATTTCATATTAATATGTGACTTAAATCTAGCAAATTCTTCATTGTAAACACGTCACCCTCAACCTCCCAAATCTTTTTCTTGGATTCTCTGGCTTTGGACAATTTACTTTACCTGGGAAGTAATTTTTTTCCCCCTGTACAATGAGAAAGTTGGAATACATGGTCTTTAAGCTCCCTTTCAGCTCTGTACCCTCAGGATGCCATCTCTCTATTTTATCTCTGCATCTCTCTGGTTTTTTTTAAATGAGATTTATTCTCTTTTTTTGTTTATTTGTTGTGTGTGTGTGTGTATGTGTGTGTGTGTTAATCCTCACCCAAGGATATTTTTCCACTGATTTTTAGAGAGAGTGGGAGAGGAAGAGGCAGAAACATCGATGTGAGAGAGACACATCGATTGGTTGCCTCCCTGCACACACCCCAACCAGAGCTGTGGAACCTACAACCAAGGTACATGTCCTTGACAAGAATCGAACACAGGACCCTTCAGTCTGCGGTCTGACACTCTAGCCACTGAGCCAAACCGACTAGGGCTCTGCATCTCTTTTAATTGAGCCAGTTTCCTCAATGCTAAGTCTAAGTCTATGAAATACATTAATCAAATTATTTTTTCTTAGAATTCTTAGCATTCATTTCTAAGTCAGCTCAAATGTGTATTCAAGATAGTCCAGGTAAAAAGAACCCAATGAGTGAGGTTTAGCTTATGTTAACCAGAAAGTTTACTGATAACTTCTTTTACAAGGCTTGGGGATGGAAAGGATAGGAAACATCCAGTCATTGTTGGCTGTGCCGTTATTGTTACTGTTAGCACTGCAATGGGGGAAATTAATATACTGAAATTACTCCATCCTTGTCTATGCCTTTCATTGGGCCTGGGAATGCCATCCACCCAGTCACTCTTTGGTACAGAGAAAGCCAAGATACAGGAGGAAGGGAGAAGCAGAATTAGCTACAAGGAACAGCCTGTATGCCAAGGTGAGAATTAGATCTTCCCGACTTTCCTCTGCTGTTTCCTTATCGAGTCACCTGTGTTTATAGTTTTATGAGAAACTTGTGCATGGCAGTCTCCCTAAATTACACCGATAGTTACTCATTTCCTCTGGTAAACAGTGCCTATCCTCTCCCAACTGGTCTTTATTAAAATGCAAGTTGTACCCGATGGTAACACATCAAATTCCCAATACTCTTTTTTTTTTAAGGTACATTCCTAGGAAAGGGAGTGGGGAGAAAGAAAGAAACATCCTGAGAACCATTCAAAGTTAGAGATCTGGTAGAGGAAGGGTGGTGGTGAAGTGGATGGAGAAAAGGATGCTAAGAGGGGGGCAAGATTCTAGAAAGGTGGGACAGGGGACAGAGAAGATAGACTCCACTTATTTTATGGTTTCTCTCAGCTAATGCCCCAAAACACACACACACACACACACACACACACACACACACACTCTGTAGCCACTCTGGCTTCTTTCCAGTTTGGGAAGGCGCTAACCTCTTTCCTACCACCAGGCCTTTTTTTACATGCTGTTTCCTCTTTCTTGGATGCTCCTCCTTCCACCGTCTTTGCCTCTTTACCTTGAACTCAAAGGACTCTTCTTCCAGGAAGCCTTCTCTGATTTCCCAGATCATAAAAAGGGCCCCCATTTTACATTTTAATAGCACTGTACAGTTCTCCTTCCTGTTACTGCACAGTTGCAACTGTACATTTATTCCTGTTGTTGTGTGACTAAGGCCTATTCCCTTAGTAAGCTATACGCTCCTTGAGCGTAGCTCCAGGCTTTTGCTCACCACTGGACCTATCTCCAATATACGACACTATCTGGCACATAGTAGGCACCCGACGAATCAGTTGGTTGACCAATTGAGTAAGTCAGGCTACAATCACCTTCCTCAAGCGGCTGCATGAATGCTGAGGAATAGTATTGTGCAATGGTTAACTGAGTATTTAGACTCTAAGTCAGCCAGGATGAAATTCTGGCTCTGCCACTTACTAGCTCTGGGATTTGGAGCAAGTTTAGTCACATTATTGTGTCTCTGCTTTCTCATCTGTGAAATGAGCATAACAATTCTGTTTTACTGACTCCAAGATGCCCTCGATTATAAGACACACCATGTACCATTAAGGAAAAACAAGCCTACCAGCGAACTAGAACACAGTGTTTTCTTATCACGGAGGCTTTTATTTTTCTTTAAACTGGCCTCCGTCCCATCATTAGGATTAGCCAAGCAGCATTTCTGAGAGAAGCACTCAGTGGCAGATGCCTCAGCTGCTCCCGGCCCAGCCTTGGTGGCTGTCTTCCACGCCCCTGGCATCCACTCGGCAAGGTGATCTCACCGGCAGGTGCCAACAGAAGGTTTCAGACCAGAACCAGGAAGACATTAAGAAGAACAAATAACTGAACACAGGCAGGATCAGCAATGCTTGTCATGCAACGGAAATGCTGCAACGTGGTATTGTTTCCAATACCACGCCTAAGTGTGACATGGTAGGCAATGTCCCCATCACTACCGCCGCCCTGCAGACAGCACGTAAGAGAAGCAATGGCGTCGGAGACACCCCTCAGCTTCACAGAACTTGAGTCAAAACAGGTGCATTGGCAAATTTCATTGCCTAATTGATTGCATTATGTGTTGCTTTTATTTTAAGAAACAGCCTATTTCACATCTACATTAAACTAAGCTGAACACGAAGTTTAGTGGAGGAGGCCTGCAGGTCTTGTTGGTAAAACATAGGCCCTCTGGCCTCTGGCCTCAAATTTTCAGGAAGGCATATGTAATACTTTAAACAATAAAAACAAAACAAAAAATCAGGAAGGGCACTTAGAACTTCATGTCTGTATGTTTCAGCACCAGGGCATGGAATAGACCAGCCGTGGGCAAACTACGGCCCGCGGGCCAGATTCGGCCCGTTGGAAGTGAATAAAACTAAAAAAAAAAAAACACCGTTCCCTTTTATGTAATGATGTTTACTTTGAATTTATATTAGTTCACACAAACACTCCATCCATGCTTTTGTTCCAGCCCTCCCGTCCAGTTTAAGAACCCATTGTGGCCCTAGAGTCAAAAAGTTTGCCCACCCCTGGAATAGACTCTGACCCCCCGCTGTCAGATGGTCTTCAGCCCCCGGAGCACCAGCCTCTGCAGCAGGCGATTCTCTGGTAAAGAAACGACTTTCCCAAGTTCTCCAGCCCCTGGCTTTGGCTTAGGTCTGCTATGTTCAGGCTCATCTCCACTCACAGTTCCCGTCACGATGTGCGTGGTACAGTTTGACACACCTGGATCCGCACCTACAGCTGGAGATTCAGCAACATCACCCCGATGGCTGCTTTCTCCCTTCACCTTCCGAGGAGCAGCTGTTTCTGGGTGCTGGTTACCGCCTGTCACAGCTGCGGGGCTTCTAGACAGCAGCCTCCCTCGGGCGGTCAGAGGCGCTTCGCTGGAGGGATGCATGCACGGCGCTGAGGGCTTGCCCCCCAGATAACGGCCACATCATCAGACGACGGTGCTCGTACACCTCACAGTTTCCCAAGTTCTGGTCTTACCAATGGGATCCATGTAAGTTGTTTTTCACAAGCTAGAGCCATTTTCCTCCTGAAACTAACTATGTACTGTGAAATCACAGGCTGTTTGGTATTTTGAGAAGACTCCGTGGATGCTTGGCCGAGACTGTTAGTAGTCCTCAGGCAAGGTGCTCCCATCCAGGGTGTGGGGTGAAGGGAAGGTACCCCTCTGGGAAGGGGGATGAAAGAAGAAAGATGAGTCCAAGGCAGCAGGCTCGGGGATGCAGTGCTCCTGCCTTCAGAAGTTAGGTGGTTGTGAGAATTAAGTGCGTTAGAATATGTGTGTGAGAGAACAAACAAGTGCGTTGGTCTATTCGTGGAAAACCCTGGGCACACCATACGTTCTCACGATCTCCCAGCAGACGTGGTTGCCTCTGCCGGGCAGTCTTTAGCCTCAGGGCCCTCGCCTGGGGCACCTCCGGCAGGACCCGGCCAGCTGGCGCTGCACAGATGCACAGCTCAGCACAGCCCTCAGGTGAACTCGTTCTCCCATTCATCAGAGTCATGACAATAATCAGGAGGAAGGCGGGATTTCTCAGTTATTACGTGGCTGTGGAACCACAGCTCCCACTAGAACCCCAGCACCGTGAGGGCGAGGATTGTTGCCTGCCTGCTCTCCACCATAACCCCAGTGCCTAGGGCAGTGGTTGGCGGGGACTCTGTACACTTCATCGAATGAATGGGTGGGTCCCCCCAGGGATATTGACCAGCGTTTCTGATGGTGAGATGGGAGCATTCTCCCTGTGGAGGGGATAGGACTCGCCGCTGAGTCAACTGAAAGAAGGGGAGCCTTTAAAATACCGCAGTCTGATGGGGTATTTTAATGGAAATCAATAAGTGAAAGGCATATAATTAATTTTATCATTTAGCTTCCATTGTAATTACTTATTGATCCAAGGCTGCTCATGGAGCACCTGGCAACAGTGAAAGAAAAACAGTAGCAGGTGTTTGGACTTAGTTCGTGTTTGCTAACTAATTAGATGAGGGTTTTGTGCTTGGAAAGCCTAAGCAGTGTGCGTTTGGCTCAAAGTTGAAAGTTGAAATCCAGGAGCTTCAGCCAACTCTGTTGATCTTTCTTGCTTCTGGGCTAGGAGGCCTCCTATCACGAAGACCTGTTATAACTGATCTTATTCACGGGAAGTCAATTTTGTTGTTTAAGCCTCAGCATTCTAATGAGGCCAGATTTTACACAGCAGAGAAGAGCATGGACTGGAGTCAGACTGCCATGGTTGGAATCGCAAGTTCACCATTGTCTAGCTGTGTGACCTTGAGAATGTTACTGAACCTCTCTGTGCTCCAGTTTCAAAATCTGTAAATGGGGATAACCATGGTATTTGATGATGATTATAATGATGGTATTTAATGATGGGTATAATTACTGGATTATAATGATGATTAAACAAAGAAACAATGTCTAAGACACAGAAAGTGCTATACAAGTGGGTTCTTAACCTTAAAAACACACTTTAATTTTCCATACTTTAGTTCCCTGTAAAGGCTTTGTTAGTTATTGACTATGCAATAATTTAGGCACACGATAGACGTTACAAACAGTTTCTATCAGGCTTATAGTCACACATGCCTACTGAAAATCGAAAATGCAACTCCCGAATAGAGGCTAGGTTGTGTTTGAGGATTGTTAGGTTGAGAGTATCAGCTAAGGTTTTGGGCAACATGCAAGAGAAATTCACTCAAAGCCACAAGGGCAGTGATGGCGAACCTTTTGAGCTCGGCGTGTCAGCATTTTGAAAAACCCTAACTTAACTCTGGTGCCGTGTCACATGTAGACATTTTTTGATATTTGCAACCATAGTAAAACAAAGACTTATATTTTTGATATTTATTTTATATATTTAAATGCCATTTAACAAAGAAAAATCAACCAAAAAAATGAGTTTGCGTGTCACCTCTGACACGCGTGTCATAGGTTCGCCATCACTGGACTAGGGGCAGAGGTGAGTGCAGAATCAAGCCTCAAAAAGGCAAAACAAGGCCCCTTTATGATAACGCCAGTGCTGTTTCCCTCTTGCTTCACTGCCCTGGAGCGCTGAATTCTTCTGAATTTGGCCTGAAGTCACATGCCTACCGTTGGGCTTAGGGATAAGGAGCAGCTGTGGTGGCTAGATGGCTAGTCCGACAGGATTACAGGGAATGGAGGAGAGAGAATTCTCCGAAGGACAAGCAGGGTGTTACTAACCAAAGAAGGGGGAGGGTTGCTAGGCAGATCAACGCCGTAGCTGTCCCCCCTCCCCTCAATGAAGAATGAAGGAGGGAAGGTAGTTTCTGAAATCCTATTTATGTTTGTGCCGTAGGCCTTTCCAGGAATTTACATACGTTTCTCTCCTCAGAGGGTTCTCTGAGAGGCTGGCTCGCCCCAGCACTCATGCAGAAAGAACGGCAATCTGGCAATAATGGTGAACTGCTTCCTCCCTGGCCCAGTGAAGCGAATCGCCAGTTACTTGTGTTGCATTCATGTAAACGCTAATCTTCGCCTCACAAATTTCATAACAGCCATAATTTCTAGTTTGATCAGAACACATTATGCTGAACTTTCAGAACTCCACAAACAGTAAGCTTACAAGGGTGGCTCCGCATTCATGAATTCTGTTTTCAGTTGGGTTGTTTTGGCTCCAAGTATAAGAACACCCAACCCTGTTGCCGAAACACAAACGGATCGGTGCAGGTACCTGGGCATCCAGATGTGCGAGAGGCACTGAGGCCTTAATCCAGTGGTTCCAGCTCTACTTCTCTGCAGTTACCTCGATGCTTTCTGACCTCATTGTCTCCCTCTGTTCTTCATCTCAGGCTGGAAGCAAAAAGCTGCAGAATATTCAGCCTCACGACGGCACAAAACAGCATCTGGGGGAAGGTGAGACCATTTTTCACTACAGACCTCAGGATAAGGTAAGTTCCTCTAGACTCCTCTAGCGAACTTTCCCCTCATCCCCTTGGCCCAGATTAAGTGACGTGCCCAAATCCTGAAACAACCCCTTGTGGCCAAGGAGATGCCATGTGCGAACTGGCTGAGACCTGGGTTCTTGAACCAGTCACTGGCAAAGAGAATGATATTACCGTGCCTGGCCCCTAGCCAATAGGAAGAAGCGTGTGTTACAGAGAAAACAGGGTAGTCAGCTTAGGGTAGTTAGTCAGGGTAGTTAGTTTTTTTCCCCTTCAATCACTGAAACACACTACTGCCTCATCCCCATGTCTGAGAAATTTAAGACATAGTAGAAGACAGAGGCCACTGATAACATGGACAACAGAGCACCATCAGCCTTCTGGCCTCTGTAGCCGCTGGAGCAGGGGCGTGTAACAGGAACTCCACGGGTCACACGTACTGTCTCAGCCAGGTTCCTTTGAGAACCCACGATGCAAAAAACCAGGAACCTCCTGGAAAATCCACGTGGGTGGCAGTGGTGGCTTGTTTCCAGGGATAGCAATGGCAGTGGCAATGGTACATTCAACGTAGGATTGCAAATGAAAATACAAAAGACCCAATTATGGTAAGTTCAAATTTCATATTAAAAAAACAAGTACTTGTTTAGTATTTGTTAGTATATGTCCCAAACATTGATTGCATGGGACATATTGCACTAAAAATTTAGACATTGTTTATTAATCATTTAAGTATTTTATCCGTCAATCCTCATCCAACGGCACCCAGTTTCCAGTGGCAGCAGAATGCTCAGTTGCAGTGGCAAAAGGGTCCTCACTAGACTGAGCTTGAGGCGTGTTTATGGTTGTGGTCCATCCTGCTACCACCCTTCCTGGCTCCCGCTCGGTTTCCAAGCCTAGTTCTACATCGTTACCAGGAATTCTGTGAGAATAAATCATACAGTGTAAGCTTTGGCTGTTGCAACTATGAACCCTAATCATGTAAATCTCAACATCCACTACAAAAGTTCGAACCTCTCCGTTAGCACTGATGTCAGCCTGAAACACAAAGAGGGAAAGGCACTTTTTTAAAATCTTCACCCAAAGATATGTTTTTCATTTTTAGAGAAAGGAAGGAAGAGAGAGAGAAACATTAATTGATTGCCTCCCATATGTGTCCTGACTGGGGATCGAACCTGCAACCTAGGTATGTCCCCTGACCAGGAATCAAACAGCAGCCTTTTGGTGTGTGGGACAACACTCCAACCAGCTGAGCCACCCAGCCAGGGCAGGAGGAAAGGCACCTTTTTAAAGCAGAAGTAGCATGGTGCTGTCAGTGAAATGCACCAGAATGGTACTGGACCTCAGTTCAGCAACCTCAGTACTTGAGTTCAGCAAAGAAAGAATTCAGAGCCAAGGAATTTAAACTGAAG